GGGGGGGGCGGCGGATAGAAAGATTAGATCAATTCTCATACCACCATAGTGATGATGGCAGCTCTGCTAACCATATCCTCTCGAGATTTCAATCCTAATCAACTTCAGGGATGTGCGACCAGCCCTGGACACCGACCTTTGCCCATGACTATAGAGGTGTTGCCGTATTGGGGTCGCGGTCTATCTTGCAGGAGCGTATCCTTAAGGGTTACATGGTCCGCGTTCAGTTCTCCACAAAAGAGTGGGCTATCAACTTCATGTTGGATGACTTCACATTCAGAGGCAGGTGAGAGTCTGGATGCATATTATGCAAAGCATGGTGAAATCAGGTGCTTGTCAAAATAATGGAATCGGAGAAATTGTAATTTCTCCGCCAGTTGGGCAATTTTTATCGTTTTCTTTTTTTTTTTAATAATAAAAAAGGGGAGGGCGGGTTATCAACATCTTTTGCGTCCATTTAAAAACACATTTCTGTGGATTTTTCTGGAATTTTGGAGGGAAAAGGAAAGCAAAATACAATTTTGCAGTTTCTAAGACTTTCAAACGCTGGAAGTCAATAAACTCTGGCAACACAGGCCCTCTTCAATCGCAAATACCCCGACTTCTTTTTAAAACAGATCGGCATTTAAAAAATCAAAAGCAAGATAAACGAACAACCTTTAAGGTGATATCAGTAACTCCATGAGCCCACAACCTGACAGCACCTGATTCCACTGTGCCATGACACATTATTATTTATCTTTGATTTATTGCAGGTTTGAGAGGGAACTTAAAATGAGGGAACTCTCATAAAGTCAGTCCGAGCTTAGAACACACCAAACAAAAAATGAAGGGGGAAGAACCACAATTGTGCAGTTTATACGATAAAGAGAAATTTGAAATGTTGTCTATTATGACTCCAGTGCTTCACTCATACCACTTTTCTAAGAATGGTTATATCTCTAGAGCTGTCCCCACAATATTTGTATGATATTGATAGATAGCCAAGACCCAAAATCCACTCCCAAATGATTTTGAAATATACATCGGC